AGAAACGCAAATTGAAGTTTTGCGCCCAATAGGTAAGCACAACATCGAGTTGTTAGTAACAACTACTTGTTAGAAGGTTTAAGAACACGTATATATATATATATATATATATATATATATATATATATATATATATGTGTGTGTATATATATACGATTAAGACTGTCAGAAATACAATTAACGATATTGGATTAAGACTGTCAGAAATGCAATTATTAATGAAAATCACAGCATGTTCGGCGTTAGTTAACTTCCAATTTAACTTTTCGATTTAGGTTTTTTCTCTAAAATCAAAAAGTTAAATTGGATGTTAACCAACGCCGAACATGCTGTGATTTTTATCATTAATTGCATTTCTGACAGTCTTTATCCAATATTTATTAAAAAACCTCGGACTGGAAGCAACATCGTGGACTACCACGATGATCGACTGGGTCATGAACTTAAAACCAAAAAAGAGCTAAATAAATAAAAATAAATAAATAATGGGCTTAAACGTAAGTTATATATGCCCATATCAAAATGGCACTAAAAGACAACAAAAAGCAATCAAACAAAACAACAATGTCAATTTTATGATCATACAAAAAATCTTTGTTGGCCATATAAAAGTCAAAATTCTTCTTGAAGTTGAAAACAGTATCTGATTCAACAACGCATGTCGGTAAATTGAGATCACCATGTTAGAAAACGAATACTTTCTTGTATTTGTATGGAATTTTTGAACATGTATTCTATAGCGATGCCCTCTGGTACGTGGATCCGCATCAAAACACAAAGCTAGTGAGGAATCTCTATCTACCATACCTTTCGCAATGTTGAAAATCATTAATATGTCTCCACGAACTCTTCTAAATCTTAAAGTTGGCAAGCCAAGAAACTTCAATCAATCCGAGTAACAAAGGCCTTTGCTACCCCTGACCATCTTGGTTGCCCGATTCTGAACCTTTTCAAATTCGTCAATTTCCTTTATTTTCCAAGGAGACCATACACTGACACCATACTCTAACTTTGACTTAATTAAAGGTTTATAAATCAAAATAAATAACTCTTTAGTTAAATTTTTAAAGTTTTTGTATAACGATCCTAAAAGAACAAAACAATTATTAATGACATGATGTATATACTCAGTGAACGTTCAAACAAAACCCCCAAATTGTTAACTTCACCACAAAAATCCAAGTTAGAATTATTAATATTATAACATCAATTATTATCCAAACATGAATGACAAAATTTTATAGCTGCACACTTTTCAATATTCAAACCGATTTTCCATAACATACATATTTTTCAGTCATACAATTTATCAAGATGTTTTTGTAGCACTATTCTACCATCCACACATCTTATAAAATTAAACATTTTAGCATCATCAGCATACAAATACATTTGAACAAAACTATCTTTCACAATATCAAACATGTCATTCACATACACAATAAACAAAGCCGGACCTAATACACTTCCTTGAAGCACTCCACTACTAACTTCAAACCTTTTAGACAAACAATTATTCACACTCACACTAGAAGTTCTACCACACAAATACTCCTTAATCCATTCAACCAAACAATCATTCCCACCATAACCACGCAACTTATTTATCAATAACACATGTGGCACTCTATCAAAAGCTTTAGTAAAGTCTGTGTAAATAACATTAGCATCCAAACAATTATCAACTGCCCTAGTCCAACAATCCGTCAATTTTAACAACTGGAGAGTTGTTGATTTCCCCTTCACAAAACCATATTGCCTATAATCTAGTAAATTGTTTTTATAAATGTAACTCAATAGATGATCTTAAATAATGGACTCCAAAATTTTGCAACAAACACAGCTTAGAACAACTGGTCTATAATTCTTAACCAAGCGTCTATTCCTTTTTTAAAAATTGGAACAATAATGCTGTTTCCAATTTTCCGGAATTTTTCCACTATATATATCTAAAAACAAATTAAATAATTTGCAAAAATAATCAGAAACTAAATGTTTACATTCTTTCAAAACAGCTGGGAATAAGTTATTGGGTCCTGCTGATTTATATTTATTCAATGAATCAATTTTTCTTTCAACTTCACCTCTTTCAACAATCAAATTATCCATCATAGCACGATTATTGTATTCCGTTAAATTTATTTTTTTATTATGCAAACCGCTATCCTGAACATAAACATTTTTGAAAAAGTTAGCAAAATTCTCAGCTTTACAATGGTCATCCATTATAATGGTCTTATCATCAATTAAATCATCCAAAGTAATTTTATTTTTTCTTGATTTGTTAATCTCTTGCCAAAAAATTTTTGGATTTGTTTTAGTCAACTTAGCTAAACGTAGTGTATCTTGCTCTTTTAATTTCACAACAGTTCTTTTAATTTGATTTCTCAAATGCTTATACTCAATTAAAATTTGCTTATTCCTATGTTTTATAAAATTCTTCCATAATTTGTTCCTATTCCTAATCATATTTAGAACATCCCTTGGTAACAGAACTTGAGGTTTCATGTCCTTTCGCCACAAGTGATCATAACTGCATTACTTTTCAAGTTAACTGCATCATTGGTAAACTAATAAATGACAACTCTAACAACGAAATATATTTTTACGATTTCAGCAGAGCTAACTACGAGCTTTTAAATGATTTTTTTTCCAAAAATAGATTGGAATTATTATTTCTAATTCTGCTTTGATGTTAATGCATTTTGGAATATCTTTGAGCAAATAACCAACAATGCCCTTTCAACTTTTGTTCCTCAAGTTCGTCGTAAAAGTCTACTGTCCAAACGATCAGTACCTAGATCACTTCGCCAATCACACAAAATTAAACATTATTTCTGGAAAAAATGGAAACAAAGTTCAAATTCAGATCATAAAAATCACTACACGATGGCAGCAAATAAATGCTTTGAATTAGCAAACTTCTACCGTAAAATCAGTGAAAACAACTTGTTATCAAAAGCTAGCGTCAGGAGCTTTTATTGCTATGTAAACAACAAATTATTTTCCAAGCCCCAAATCAACAGTTTGAAAACTGAGGATAATAGTATATCAAGTGATCCCGTGACGATAGCAAACACATTTAACAATTATTTCGCATCAGTATTCACTGTAGATAATGGACTAACTTGTTCTTTGCCTCTCCGTACTACTAAATCAATTGAAGAAATTTGCTTCACTCCACATGTAGTATATCTTGCTCTTCGAGATTTGAACAATTCATATTCAAGTGGTCCAGATGGCATTCCTAACATTTTTCTCAAAATGTGTGCTTCAAGTTTAGCTATCCCACTATGTCACATTTTTGACTCATCTTTTAAAAATGGATTTCTTACCCACGATATGGAAGACTGCCATCGTTACTCCTATTCACAAAAAAGGTCCGACCAACTACCCCAGCAACTACAGACCTATATCATTAACCTGTTCATGCTGCAGTCATGGAAAAAATTATCAACAGGAGTCTATTAAATTACTTATTAGATAACAGTTTGATATCCCATTTCCAGCATGAATTCCTTCCGGCAAGTTCAACTTCTTCTAACCTCCTCAAATTTCTTAGTGATTCGTTGTCAATCCGTCAAATGAAGGAAAGGTGCGATACCATCTATCTCGACTTCAAAAAGCTTTCGACTCCGTTTCACATGCCAAGCTAGGTTGCAAATTACAAGCCTACGGTATTTTTGGTAAATTATATTGCTGGTTGATAAATTTTTTATATGAACGATCTCAATTCGTCCGGATTCAAAATAAGTTATCTTTTTCCATCGCTGTAACCAGTGGTGTACCTCAGGGAAGCGTTCTAGAACCCACTCTGTTTCTTATTTTCATCAACAATATAAACGACTGCATTTCATCGTACCCTGTTTCTACGCTATTTGCTGATGACATAAAATTATATGCTCGTTCATTCAATTCAAATCAGCTTCAACAGGTAATCGACAAAATCACAGCATGGAGTAACAGGTGGCAACTGCCGCTCTCTTCCAACAAGTGCTCTTTATGCTCATTCCTTCCATCAACTATAAATACTACAGCTGTAAATCAATATATGATTGGTCAACATGTTTTAACTCCTGCTCCTGTTTCAAAGATTTCGGGGTAATAATCGACAATCAATTAAACTTCAACCAACACATTAATGACATCACGCATAGGGCTTCAACCCGTGCTCGCCTTATCATTAAATGTTTCACTTCTAAAGACAAAGATCTACTCACTAAAGCTTACTGCACCTATGTTCGACCTCTGTTGGAGTATTGTTCACCAATCTGGAACCCTCACTACAAATATCAGTTGAACAGGATCGAAAGCATTCAAAGAAGATTCACTAAATTTATTTCTTCAATTCGTCATCTTTCGTACCTTGAACGTTTGAACTGCGTCAATTTGCTAACACTAGAACATCGTAGATTGATTTTCGACCTATGTTTCTTGTACAAGATACTAAACAATCTCATCAAAACTGATATAAAAGATCAATTTAATCCATCGTCATACCTATCAACCCGTGGACATTGCAAACGACTGCTCGAATCTAATTCCAACAATAACACATCAAAATATTTTTTTGTAACAGAATTGTACGAGTGTGGAACATGCTACCGGAAGAAATTGTTTCTTCAAGCTCATATGCCATGTTTAAACAAAATTTACTTATTGTAGATTTGAAACATTTAATGCATATAAAATAAATCAATAGTTATCATTAATTTCAACAACGTATGTTAATCGATAAAAACGTTTATTTCATAAATTTATCCATTTGAATTATTATATCGGTCTATGTCAAATAAATAGAATACATGGTCCATGTTAATCTCGTTTTGATTGGATTTTTGTTGCATTAAATCACCGACATATTAGAAATGATGACATGTGGTATCTATCTTTTTTAATATTACATTTTCTTTTTTTTCTGTTCTGTCATTAATGTTGAATTTAGTTCATTTTTTTCTGACTTGCTCTATGGTCAGTTGTTAAATAAATAAATAAATAAGCCACACCTAAAATCATACAAATTAATACCCATTACCAAATTCAAACCACAATGATCACCCTTACCAAATGGAGAACTATAAGATAAATTTTTTATTAAATTTCTATCCTCTACAAACAACAAATCTAACAAAGAGCTTTTGGTATGTCAACCATTTGAAAAAGAAAATAATCCTTAATAAAATTCAAAAATCTTGTCTCAATGGACTTGTTTGAACCAATAGTTAAACAATACTTCCAATCAATGGTTGGAAAGTTGAAGTCTCCCACTATTATTTTTACACCACCAATTGCCATGAAAGCCTGCTCTGGAGCAACTGCCTTTTCGCGGTGGAGCAGATTGGACCGTCAAATCAAACGTTCAAACAAAGAGTTGCAACAAAACCTTCCTCACCTGGATGTCCAAGGGGTTTTTGTCGATGGGGCGGGCCATCCTGCTCCGTTGCCTTCTCCTGAGAGCCAGAATTGAATCAAATCCAGGTCCCCCAAAAATTTGGATTTGCCCTAGATGCCATCACAAAATCAACAAAACCCAATTTTCAGCTCGTTGCAGAATCCGCTACAACTGGCATCACCTCAACAACTGCACGACCAACATCAACGGTTATTACTACTGTAACAACTGTTCTCACCCATCAAAAAAATCGGGCAAATCACGACGGCCAACATCGACATCAGCATGAAAGCCTGCAAAAGATTTAGTAAATTATCATTATTAGATTCATTTTAACTAGGACTTCTATAAATGACAAGAATGTGAAAATAGTTAAAAAGTCCATAACACTTGATGGATAAAAATTCTTCTAAGTCAATACCCACCAAATGTGATTTTTATTTCAGTCTTATGGTAGCAGAAAACTCCTCTATAACTAGCTTTTACGAAATTTGCTGTATAAAGTTTGTAACTTTTTAAATAAAATTCATTTTCTGAATAACTATAACATAAAACTGCATCCACGCTGCCTTGCGTGCTGTTGAGCAAAAGACTAGGCCAACCGCTTATAACTGGTGGTTGTTGTCAGGATGGGTGTCCGGATGTAAAAACGTTTCCCCAAATTATTCCTATGCCATCACAAAGAAAAACAACGGCCTCTAGTTCCCAGCAGGCCTTAAGTGATCAAGGGGTGCCAAGAATCCCTGGAAAGTATGCAATAGCGGAGGGATGTTGCAAAAAAATTCAGAATGGCCCCTCTATGTTACTTGGAACGCTCAATGTTGGATTACTGACTAGCCGCAGCATGAAAATTGCAGAAATGCTTGAGCGTAGAAGGATTGACATCTGCTGTCTTTAGGAGACCCGATGGAAATCAAATGGTGTCTGTCATGTCAACTCAGACAAAGAAAAATATAAACTATTCTGGAATGGTCAAAAGACGGCCAAAAATAGTTTTGAAATTTTTGTCCGAAAACCGCTAGCCCAAGAAGTACTGGATATTAAAAGGATTAATTCTCTACTCATGTAGATCAAGCTTCGCCTAGAAAAGCAAACAATGATTATTTTTTCTGCATACGCACCACAGACAGGCGAATCAGAAAAGATGAAAAATGACTTCTGGGCTGCGTTCTCAGACACGATCTCAACAATAACAAAATCTGAAACAATCCTGATTGGTGGCGATCTCAATGGCCACGTTGGAGAGAAAACAGATGGTTTTGACAACGTACATGGCGGTTTTGGCTATGGAAAACGGAATGAAGATGGCAACCGCATCCATGAGTTTGCTGAAAGTCACGGGTTTTGTTTACTGAACACATATTTTAAAAAGAGGTTGGAAAATCTCATAACATACAAAAGTGGACCATCAGCCACCCAAAGTGATTTCTTCGCTATCCAGCAACAACACCGAAGGCTATTCAAAAATGTCAAAGTTATACCTGACGAATCATGTGTCGCCCAACATAGACTCCTTGTGGCAGACCTGGTTGTCGAACTGTCAAAGCATAAGTCTAAACAAATGCCTCACGTAAAAGCTGAAAAGCAATAATCATCGGGAAAAATTTCAACAGATTGTCACAACACAGACCACTAATCGCAAGCCAGTACAGATTGAAGTACATACAAAACCGTTTTGACCATAAAATTTTCAGTGGGAAGAACAACTATGCAAGACGTCAAGTCGCACTAGCTCGGACATATCAGTGCAGAGAGTGGCTGACTAAAAGCAAAAGTGAACAAATGAAATCTCTGTATCGTATAGCAAAACAAGCAAAGCGCACAAAAAAAGACATAGTTGGTGTCTAATGTATCAAAAACGACAAAAATGAGATGGTTCTTGAACAAGATGAGATCGAGCTACAGTGGAGAGAATACTTCAACCGTCTGTTAAATGAAACATATCCCATCAATGTCAACTTTGACACTCCACCCATCGAAGGTTCGATTCCAGACATCACAGTAGAGGAGCTCACAGATGCTCTGAAAGCTATGAAGGATGGAAAAGCAGCAGGGCCCTCTGGACTCTCAAATGACATTATCAAAGTATCTGGTACTGCAGGTATTCAAACGTTACTACAACTGAAGTAAGGAAAAATTGCTCAATGCCAACTGAATGGAACTATGTATAGTATGACAGTTTCGCTATACAAAGGCAAAGGTGATCCATTGAACTGTTTATCATATCGAGGTATATGTCTGTTAGAACACTCCCTGAAAATTGTCGAAAAAATCATCGAGTGAAGATTAACGTCGTGCATCACAATCGGAAATTATCAATTTGGTTTTCTAGCGGGGAAATCAACAATTGATCCAATTTACATCCTTCGGCAACTGCAAGAGAAGTATCTCGCAAAGCATCAACAACTATCACACATTTTTGTAGACCTTGAAAAAGCATTTGATCGAGTTCCCCGTGAAGCAATCAGGTGGAGTCTACGTCGACAACTCATTCCAGAATATCTTGTTCGACTTGACTTGTTATGGAAATGTATACGAATACTAAGACAAAGACTAAGACTAATACTATACTAAGTATTCTAATACTTAGAATAATCGAGTTCACCAAGGCTCGATTCTCAGTCCACTGTTGTTTATAACTGAGATGGAAGAAATCACAAAACCGATACACACTGGTGACATTTGGAATCTAATATATGCTGATGATATCGTTTTAACATCCACGTCTGAGCAGAATGCAGCACAGATGTTTGAAGATTGGAACACCAGACTCGCCGATCATGTATTCAAAGTCAACATCAGCAAAACCAAAGTAATAAACACTGGTGAACCTATCCAATCCACAGCTACTGGACGATGGCCCTGTTCAGTTTGTAAAACTGGTGTAGGTAACAATTCAATCAAGTGTCAGCAGTGTAACCAGTGGTGTCACTAACGTTGTTCAAAAATAATAAGTACTTTATCTAAAGTGTCCAACTTTGTTTGTCCTGCTTGCATCAATCCACAACAAGAAATACGAGATAGCAATGTTTTTGAAGCCATTAAGGTAGAGAAAGTCACATCGTTTCAATATCTAGGGGATGTTCTGGATTGTACTGGAACAGCTGAAGCTGCCGTTCGAACACGCATACGTGCAGCCTGGAATAAATGGCATCTCCTTGCTTCTACATTGATGCGGCGTGACATCCCACTGCCACTACGATCAAGACTTTATAAATTTGTAATACGTCCGGTGTTGTTATATGGTGCAGAAACATGGCCAATGACAACCAAACTGGAACAACAACTTCAACGAACCGACATGAAAATGCTCCGATGGATGCAATGAATTAGTATGAAGGACCACATCAAATCTACCGAAATCCTGCGTCGTGCTGGTTTAGATGATATAAAGGACGAATGCCGGCAACACCGTCTGCGGTGGTTTGTTCATGTCAAACGAAAAAGAAACAGTGCCATAACATCTTTTGCAGATGTTGAAGTACCTGGCACACGTCCCAAAGGCTGTCAAAAGAAGTCCTGGTCGCAAACAATCGAGCAAGAATGAAATGAAATTTAAATGAAATGGATACAACTGATCGTCTAATTTGGCGCAAAAAATTGATGGCAGAGAAAACAACGTCCTTCCTTGGGGAACTGGGTCTCTGGACGCTAAAAAAAGATTGATTGACAGTAAAAGTCCTCGAAATAGGACACTAACGGGGTCAAAATGTCCGCTTCTCTGAACCATCATCTCCTGAAGATTCAATTATGATTTTCAAATATTTGTTTATACAAGTCAAACAAAATAACAACTTTTATATACATTTTTATTTAGCCAAAAAATCTTCGATGGTTTTTTCGCATTACAAATTGTTTTAGATATTTCATTTTGTAAAATATTTTCAATTCAATGTATTCAGAAAATATAAACATTTCTTCATTACCCCCACGGATTGAATAATATGTTATTTTCTGGCATATTCTAATGTCATTCTTGTAGACATAATTTTTTATAACCATCAAGATACAATTTCAACATTTTGATTTAATCTCCATTGCCGTTTAATCGTTTCTTTGTTTCAATAGTAATAATAACTTACATAGCGCTAAGGGTAAGCAACTGAAGCTTTCTTTGCCAGACAAGCTAGTGCAATATGATATATGATATAAAATAGAAATTACATATCAAGCCAAACAATTAGATGTAATAGATATGATGTTGTTTAAATGCTATTAGCGGTTATAGCAAATAGCAAAAAAAGTTTTTAGTTTTTCCTTAAAAGTAGCCAGAGAAGAACGGTTCTAATATGCTCTAGTAATGTGTTCCAAATTGATGGTGAAGAATGACGGAAAACACGGTTAGCAATGTCGGTTGACACATGTTGTTTGACTATTGTAGGTGCTTTGGATGAACGCAAGTATCTGTTGGATTCTTTGATAGCGATTAGATTTCTTAAGTTAATTGGCTGTGATGTTGAAAGTGTCTTGAATGTTATTGTAGAAACTTTAAATTGGATCTGAAATTTGATTGGAAGCCAGAGAAGAGTTATAAGGTTCTTTATTAAGTTGGTCCGACATGCTGGAAGTTTAATGTATGGAGCAACGCGCGCAGTTTTATTCATCAATGTTTGAAGTTTTTTCATTTGTAGTTTTGTGATGCCAGATTCGTGCCGTAATCTAATCTAGATAAGATTAAACAACGTATTAATGAAAATACTAACGTCGTTGACAAAAATGGTCTGATGTAACCAATTGCTCTAAAATGATAGTTGCATGTTTGAATTATTGAAGTAATATACTTATCAAAACTTAGCCTTGAATCTAGTATGATGTCGAGTATTTTCACCTGATTGCTTATAATAATGGGAATGATTCGAATGTTGTCAACGTTGTTAATTTCTTTTAAATGCTTATATGTTCCTAATTTGATGAATTTTTGGAAAGATTGAGTTGCGTGTTGTTGTGTAGAAACCATGTTTTCAGAATGGCCGGGATCCGCCACTCTACAATAGACCCTCTCAGGGTCTGAAAACAAGGGACGGGCGGAAGTTTGTTCGCAATTACTTGTTGACTAAAGACGCCGACCTCGTAAACTATCAGCAAGTCTTCTTCAACATACATTATTTTAGGTAAAATAATTATGTCAATCAAAATTTCAAGTGCATACTTATTTTATTCAATAAAAACAAAATAGTAAGAATCAAACCTCTGTCTTTAATGCAAAGTAACAATTATTACTGTTTATTAATTTTTTATCATATTAAAATGAACTATCTATTAATACTATCTACTATAACTATCAGGCAA